CATAACTATTAATTTGCTATTTCAATAAAAATGGTAGGGTAGCAATTGTTACCACGTAATGACGTCTATGGATTGTATAAATTCTGGATTAAAAATCCAAAAAAAAAATGAAATACGTTTTTCGAAAAAATGTCATTATATCCTTTAAAGTAATTATTCTCTTTCTTTTTTATTACATGTTTTTTCACCTTAAATGTGATTTTATCGTTAATATGAGCGAGAGCCTGCAGTTTTTGTAATTGAAAAACTCAAAAGGGTTAAAGTTTATTCATCGATACAGATAATTTCAGATAATTTCTTTATAAATAAAAATTAAATTAATTTAAAAATGCAACTTTTATGTGAATTTAATATGTGACACAAAAAATATAATTTTTTTAGGTTTTGAAAATAGTGTGTGAAACTCGGAATGGCCCGTTAGATTTTGTAACGTCTATCAGACAAGCGTTGGCAAAATACTTTGGCGACAAACCARTCGGTAAGAACTCATCAATACATTATTGCAATAAAATATGTAATTGTTTTCAACAACTTGAATTCAGACTTTTCGTCTCTGCTGATTTATTTTTAGGTTTGGGTGGAGTGATTTTGATTGAAACAAGTAAAGTAAAAGTTCATGTTATGCCTGATTTTTCAAAAACACCACTCCTCTCGGAAACTGATTTGAACAATTGGCTTAAGTTCTTTGAAGTGCCCACACCATTAGTGGCTTTAGGTTATCTCGTCTCTCACGATCCGGTGACTAAATGATAATACATATGTTTTACATTTTACATTATTTAAATTTCCTAATCATTGTGTTTTATGAAATTAATTAATAATATTATAAACTACTGTCTTCTTGTCACAACATCATACTGACAATTTAATATTTTAAATTTTATAGGGTTTGGACCTAAGACCTCAACACTTTCACTTGTTTGGTAATCAAGGAGAAGGTGGACACTATCATCATGACACAGAACCAACGACTGTAAAATACACGGCTTTTTTGAATGTTGCCAAAAAATTGATCAGAGTTGACCAGCCAGAAGAAGCTCTCTTGTTTGGCAAAGATTAAATTTTCTGAAAACACGTAGCTGTATTGTTAAATAAATAATAATTCTCCTAAATCAATTGTTTCAATAATTTACACTATTGAGTAATGATGACTGGTCAATAAATTGACATGTTCTATATACTTGTGTTTACTGTGTAATTTATATAATCTATAAATTACTATAACGAGTATAACTTTATACAATTGTTTTTTTTTTTAAAGTTTTAAATTTTACTTCTTTAAGAGATTGATAGGTTGTCTACTTGAAATAAGTATAAATAAATATTTAGATAAAAATAAACATATTATTTCAGTGATATAATAATAAAAAAGTCAATTATAATTATGTTTTTAAATTTTATATAAAATAAAATGTGTAACTAAAAATAAATTTAATGTAAACATACTTTTTTATTATATAATTTAGTATGTGGCGAACACAAAAATGGACGGATYGTATGCATTTATCACAATTAAGTTTCTTATAATAAATTGTAAAATATTATACATAGGTAGGTTAATTTTAATAACTATTCATAAAAATATGATATAAATTTATTTTTATCGATATAAAATCAATGAAGTTAAGATCTAAGTATCTATAATTGTATATTTAAAGCTATATTTTATACAATTTTTAACATAAGAATAACAAAAATTAYAATATAATGAATAGTCAGTTTTTGTTCATTACATTTTGTTCTTAATCATTAAATATATTAAAATTAATAATAACCATATAAGATGACATTACTCAATTATTAAACAATACATTTAAAAAAACATG